AGTTTGAAAGATTCCACAGCATAAAGAACTGCTCATGGTGTTTATGCCAGTAGTGGAAATTGTACTTTAATTGTGGTATAGCATGTTCATCATTAAAATAAGAGATTGTACTTATTGAATGAAAGTGGATACATGTAGTCAGATGTTTGAAAAATGTTTCCTGAAATCCAATTTCAATGTCTTGTTGAGATGTACCGTATTTTATCGGATGGAATACCTCAAAACCTTACAACCATGCAATCAGAAATTTTCTATAACTGTATGATTATACTACATTTAAGAGCAGAATTATTTATGTGAAGTTTGTAGTAAAAGAAAAAGAGGGCAAATAAAACAACAGTTATAAATTGAATATCTATGAATCAATGCCTTTCCAATGCCTTTGATCTAATGGTATCAACTTTCCGCACTGAAAAGTAAACCCATAGAAAAAACATAAAATACAGTGACATTAATGGAATTAACTGTTTCCAGTTAAATTCTCCTGGGTCGTATATGTGTAGTTCAGGACCAGAACTCTTAATGTTTTAAGCTATATATGAAAAGCCTTAAGCTCATCCAAGACCTTCTGGGGCACTGTGGATTTAACTGTCAGGAGGCCCTCCAAAAAATCCTCCAAAACCACAGGCCTAATCTACAACAGAGAGAATGATGATGTAAAGTAAAGAGACATACATGGCACATGCAACCTTGTAGAGAAACAAAATTTGGTTAACTTACAGTCTTTGGAAGGACACGTTTGCCTGTTGCTTCTTTTGACAGTTGCCTGAATATGTTTTTGGATGCCCATTTACAGAGATTACGTAGGTCCGACCCACTGTATCCCTCCGTCTCATTTGCTATATGATTGAAATCTGCCTGGGTTAGTGAGTGCGAGGTATTAAGCATAATCCTCTGGAGCATTTTTTTCCGGTCCTAAAAATTGAAAATGATTATTTACATGCGTATGACGTCATTGTAGCTTGTAGTGCAGTATAAAGAAGATCTTACATCAAGTTCAGGCAGGCCAACATATAGCCTTGTTTGGAATCTCCTAAGGAAAGCTGGGTCAATGCTTTTCGGGAGATTGGTAGCTCCAATGATGATTACCTTGTCTGAACTTTTGGTATTGCAGCCGTCCTGAAAATAACGTGACTTATTGTAGAAAGGACATCTGAGTATTTATTAGAATAGCTCATATGATCAAATCATGAGACATGTTCTTGTTGGAAGGAAAGAACTGGAAGGGAAAAACTAACCATTTCTGTTAAGAATTCAGTTTTCACCCTCCTTTCCCAATGCCGTTCTTCCTCGGTCCGTATGCTCAGGAGAGCATCAACTTCATCTATAAATATTACAGATGGTTGAACCGCTCTGTAAATAGAAAGTAAGAAAAATAGTAAAAGTGACCACAACAGAAACAATACAACTAGAAAAGCACTGAAATGAGGGTAATAGAATAAAAATCGAAGTGCTCAGTTAGAATTGTTAACTAGAATTTTGGGGGGAATGAAAATTATATAAGTAAGCCAGTAACACAAAGGTAGTCTGCTATTAGTGTTTAAAAAATCATGGGGTCTATGTTTTAATATGCAAATCAAATTCAGTGCAAGACATTTTACTTTGATACAGAAGATCCTTGATCCCACTAAAAATTAATGCCAGATTAACTCCTTCTTCAATGTTCTGAAATTAATATAAAGCTTAACAGCTTATAATAACTCACCTGGCAACCTGAAACAGTGTTTTTACTGCCCTCTCTGCCTCCCCAGCCCATTTAGTTACAAGAGATGATGCAGTGATATTGAAAAACTTTGCCTTCAACTGGGAGGCTATGCACTTCCCTGAAAAAAGAAAGAAAAGTGCAATGGAATACAATAAACTAGCTATATGTACGCCAGACCACGTCTCGCGTAACAGGCTTCGCGATATATCACGAAACACTGTTACGCTGCGACGCGCCTGGCGCACATATAGCTAGGCCTGCGGCGCTGACACCCGGAACGAGCAAATGGGAGGGCCCAAAAT